GGGGGGGGGTACGAGCGGGAGTATTTCGGTAACCATGTTCGGAAGTTTGCCTAATTTTGTTACGCCATTAGTCTTTTGTGAAGTGATGTTTTACTCAGCATTTCACGATTGTAAAAAAGATCGTTAGCAAACTTGATAACAGACTGTTTGATAATACTGTTCTACTCTTTCTGTCAAATGGATTGGTAAATTCAGTATTAATTTATTTGTAATTTACTCTAAACAGTTTACTTTGCTAATATTTAATCCTCGTTTTAATGCTCTGTTTCGCTTCAACTTACTTAATTCTCGAGATCCTTTTGTAACCCTTTTTAAATGGTTTCTGACCTATTATACGATTTAATTTTTTGCACGTAGAATCGCTCAAAAACGTGAAGACGCTGTTGCATATGAAGTCATGCGAAAATACGCCGATGACCGGAAAGTCTCTAAAAAAGAAAAAGACGAACGAATTCTGTGGAAAAAGAACGAAGTCGCCGATTATGAGGCTATAATGTTGAGCATTTTATACAATAACGCATTTTTCCTCATGCTGTATGTGCTGTTTTCGTTTTTTATATTTCACACCCTGTCCATCAATCTTAACTATATACTTTCAATTGGTGGTGCTAGTGGCATTGTGGCTCTGTTTTCTACTGCTTCTCATTAACTAGTCTGAATTGTATTATTTCTTCCAGACGCCGTGTTTCAGTTGCCTGTTAATTAAATGATAAATTTTTCATTGGTTTGTTTTGAAATTGTTGATTTGTTTGCTGAAGTGTTTCTGACAACGAAATCTATATTCGTTTTTCACTAGGTCGGTCATAATGAGCTTATGCAGTTTGTTAACAAGTACTAAGATGATTATATTATATTACTGAGACAGTGAGTAAGACGATGTAGGATGCTGAATTAACCTTGAAAGGGGTCTACGCAAAAACGTTATTGATTCTTAAAAAGGAGAAGTAAATTTTGATAAAGGAAAGATACTTGCCTTACCTAAGTGTTTGTGTTCGTTTTTATTTTACGTTTTCAGTTTGTTGCTATCACTTGAGGCATTTTTCTAGAAGTTCTGAGCTTCATTTTGACTAGCTTAAAATACAAGGAATTCCTTTATATTAAGCACTGTATGGAGGGAGCGAAGAAAGGATCGTTCATGGCGTCCGCAGTGGGTGCGCTTTATTAGATTTGGTCGCCGTACCAGGTTTAATCAAACCTGTTGTCGAGCTTGCCAAATGACTTGAGCATGCATATTGTGAAATATTGCAAAAGACACAAGTGAAGTGCATTTTGAACGAAGCCGCAATCTTTAACTACAAACGGGAAACCTCTTCT